GAACGCAGATTTCAATTCTTATATAGCGAAATAGCCGAAGTGCGCGGAGGCCGGGGAGAGGGGCTAGCTCCGGCGCGCGCCGGGATAGCAACCCAACACGGCACCGCGCAGCAGAGTAGTGGGGTCGGCCACACTACCGAATACACGAGAAGCCAACCCGGGATTTATTACCCGCACGGCTATATTATCATGCGCAGTTGAAACCTGGGGGCTCGCCGACCAGGTTCACCGGGTGGAAACTGAAGGCATATATGACTCCCATATCTGAAAGCAGGTTGGGGGCACTACGGAAAGCTTAGAAGCTCCCGTCACCTACTAACTACTACTACTACTAACTAACTCCCCTGATTTATTTATTATTGATATTGTTTGATTGTGCCGTAAAAATAAATATTTGTTTTATTAAATATTTGTTTTATTAACTCCTAGCCTAGCCTCAGCTCAGGGAAGCATTTTTATTTTACGTCATTGGTAATTTGTATGATTCGGAATCAGCGTCCAAAGATACGTTTATTAAAATCAATTTCATACCCACAGCAACAGTGCATATAATAGTAGTGCTCAGAGCCTTTCTACAATATTTTTATTCGGGCGAGTAAGTTAGTTGTTAGTGGAAACGTAACCTTCTGTACAGAAAGAGGAAGCTCTGATACTATAACATTAGTCGAAATACACTCTCACTGCCGTTTTAAAATTGTTAGCTCTCGTTATCGCACTGCTTATCTCTTGATAATTGCACCGCTACTGCGCTGCTAGCTTGTTGTGCTGATCTTTACGATGGCAGATTTGGACTTGGAAAGTATCAATTACATATTGTGGAATGAGATGTTCACCTGGAGCATCGACGGCCCCAACGTTAATGTGGCTCTTGCTATGTGTTGGTTCAGCCAAATTAATTATTATGTAATCAAGTTTATTTTTCTCTTTAAGTTAGTTGTCATCCGGCCAAACATTAAGCAACTTATATTGCAGTACCATTTATCAATTAGTATATCAAAATATGTCATTGTAATTTTGCATGGCTGAAATGTAACGCTTGATTTATATATATAATAATTAATTGAATTTTCAAATTTAAAAAAAAAAAGAGACTCTGAAGAAATTTGGCAAGCCGTACGGAAAGTTAAAGGACATTGCGGACGCTAAGAACTTCAACAGACTGAATAAGCCGGAGATTGTCGATGTGTGTGGTCGATCTTTTGAGTATACGAACTATCTTATGGAGACCGTTGAAGCGTATAAGAATGTGTTGACCAGACTTCAGGGTCAGTTAATTGAGAAGCAAGAGCAGATTATCAGTGTTCAGGCCGAGCTATCAGCTTGCAAGACCGAGCAACTTGAAGCGATGAAGAAAACTGTGTCAAGTTCAGTTGCTGATTCAGTGAAAGCGGAGTTCCAATCTTACAGCTCTGTCGTTCAAAGTTTGCCAGCACAGTCTCCAGTAATCAGCCCGGAAGCATTGACGTCTGTAGTCAAGACTATTGTTGCAGAGGAGGACCGCAGCAGGAACCTTCTTATCTTCGGTCTGCCTGAGGAAAAAGAAGAGAAGCTCGAATCTCAAGTCAGTGAAGTTCTGGAAACTATTGGCATAAAGCCAAAAGTAGAGGCTCAGAGAATAGGAAGAAAGAAAACGGTTGACTCAACGCGACCAGTTAAAGTTATCACCTCAAACTCGCTCATCGTTGATCAGATTCTGAGGAATGCCAGGAACCTGCGGCAGAGTGAGAAGTTTAAGACAGTTTTTTGGAGCCCTGATCGGTCTGTCGAACAGAGGAAGTTCCGGAAAGATCTGGTACAGGACATGAAGAAGCGGGCACTTGCAGAACCGACCAAAAAGTTTTACATAAAGGATTTTTAAAATCTATATTAATAACTTGTCATCTCTTCTGAAATCTGTTGGTGATTATCCAGTTCTTGCTGACGTTCTAATATCACATCTGCTCTGGGCTGACGATCTTGTCCTTCTTGCTCTAAGTCCCAAGGCCTTGCAAGTCAATATCAACATTCTATCTGACTTCTGTAACTCCATGGGCCTTGAAGTAAATATAAAGAAAACTAAGATTGTTATATTCAGCCCTCCCAAAAAGAAGCAGTCCCATGAAACATTTACATTGGGAGGTCAGCCCATCCAGCACACCGAAAAGTACTGCTATCTTGGCATAATATTCCACAGAAATGGATCCTTTACGGCAGCAAATACTGAGCTGAGGGCCAAAGCTCTCCGTGCTCTATATGGCCTTAAAGGCAATATAGTTAAAGATGCCCTCTCTCACCGTGCCCTTAATATTCTATTTGATTCCTTAATCAAACCAATCCTGCTTTATGGCTGTCAAGTCTTATGCCCCCACTCTAAAACAATGAGATACCTTTCAAAAATAGATGACAAAGCCAGCCCCCAGCATACCCTGAAGTACATTGCACAGGACCACTATGAGAAATTCCACCTAAAATTTATCAAGTGGTCTTTGTCCGTCCATTCAAAAGCATCAAATATAGGTTGCTGGGGCGAAAGTGGGCGCCACCCCCTATTCTTTGAAGCCTGCAAACTTGCAATAGATTACTATAGTCGCCTTGAAAGCACCGAAAATGAACTACTTTGTGCTGCATTTCACGAGCAGATCATGCTGGGCCTTCCTTGGTATACCAACATCTCAAAGCTTCTCACCAAATACAACGTCCCCCACTCATCTTCATCAAAATCTAAGCTCTCCACCCAAATCAGTCATAATATGAGGGAAGAATTCGTGAATACCTGGAAATCTGCCAAGGCCTCCTCACCAAAACTAGAATTCTATAACTTAATTAAACATGATTTTGAACCAGAGGCATACCTACGAATAATCAAAGTACCTGATTTTCGAAAAAGCTTGACAAGGTTTCGTATCAGCTGCCACAACCTCTACGTTGAAAGGGGCAGATACGAAACCCCTCTTGTACCAAGAGAAGAACGTTGGTGCACTTACTGCTTTTTCAGTAAAGGGCTCAAACCTATCGAGGACGAAAGCCATGTATTAATTGACTGTTTGCTTTACTCCTCAGTTAGGGAAAAATTCAACTTTTATCCCCAAAACATCACTGACCTAGCCGGTCTGCTCTCCAACAAAAATCTAGATCCTACCAAATTTACTGCCACAGCAAGAGCAATCCATTCAATTCTCTCTGTGAACGAACAATATACAGCCTATTATAAGAGCCCAGATTTCCACTCAAATACTGGCAAGTGTATGATGCTCTAGGAAGTCAAAATAAACTCATGAACCATACAAATTTGATTTACTTAAAGAAAATAGCATTATATTATAACATTTCTATTTTATCCCTACACATTTGTAAATGATTAGAAGTGTGTAACTTAAATTATTTCAGAATTATAACTATTGTGAACTCAATAAAATAATTATCACTTTTGTATCCTTGTATCCTTGTATCCTTTGTATCCTAAAGGACGGGCAAATTTATTTTGCCGATGAGAGCAACGGTTGACAACTTTTTTTGGGTGTGTGTTTCGTGTGCTGTTTTGATATGTTTTGGACCATGTTTGTGAGGGACATATTGGTAGCTGAAGTTATTTTCTACACAAGACTGAATAGTCTTCAGGCTGTAGCTGAGCTTTAATTTCCGACGCAGTTTTGTTGAGCCACTAGTCCATGATGGGGAATATAAACAATTTATTTAACTCTTAATGGTCATAAATCAAGACGCTTGCATATAATGAACATATTGACACGGGTGCAGAGATGAGTCTGTACGGAACCTAGTAGTTTCAGATCCTTGTTTAACTTGCCGTACAGCAAGGTCATCTGCATCCTCCATTACTTTAGCCCGGCGAGGCACATAACTCCCTTTACAACTCCATATCAAATGTTTCATATATACTAGCCAAGTTCACAAAATATATCCTTGTGTTTGAGAAGAGCTCGTTAGAACTGCTTCCATATAGTAATAGCTACTTTTAATTTCATGAATCATACAGATTTTAAAGTACGCTGGTACGCGATTTTTATTAACGGGTGATACTCGTAAAATATCTGTTCCATATATTGGACCGTCGACGAGTCCAACTCGGCGCGCGTCCTGGTAGGTTGTAAACCTACAAGATTTTTATCTTATTAAATTGCTGTTCAATATCTGTTTTAGTAAACATAAACTGGTGTAGTAAAACCCAGTTCCCAATCAATCAAATCGTCTACTAAGCTCTTGTAGGTTTATAACTTACCAGGACGCGCGCCGAGTTGGACTCGTCGACGGTCCAATATATGGAACAGATATTTTACGAGTATCACCCGTAAACTAAGCTCTGATTTAGAACTTGACACATTAAATAGTGATTTTTATTGTTAATGGACTGACCCGGAGCACGCTACTTCGTATAAACACATGCATCGGGCTCATATTTCGAGAAGAAAGCGGCGCGCGCTACTACATACTTTGAAAATTTTTTTCCCTGCTCTTGCCGAATAGAAGGCAAAAAGATCGTATGTCGTAGGGAATAAGTAATCGGGTTTGGATATATGAGGTGGCCCGACGGTCCTACGTTGACGACAAAAGTCTGCTCCTTCGTAATATAGACCACTAACCTATAATCATGTGTATAGGAAGCATCTGTTATGCTGCGCGCGACGCTAGCCATGTGTTAATTAATTACAGTTACGTTACAGTGAAGTTCCTCCTTCGCAAAGTTATTTTCCACAATTTTCTGGATTCATTTATTGTTGATGCGCGGCGCTACATTGGTCAAATAAATCGTCATTTTTTACCATGCACGAATCCCATTCATTTATAAAAAACATAGTGTGTAAATATGTTGCACTTTTTTTTCCAGTCACACTTTTCACTCAAAAGAATTAATGGTACAAGTACATCGTAGGGCCGGGAAAATTTATCGTGCGTGGTTTAACCGCGGCGAAATTTTTGTTAAACGAGTATCATCCGTCAAAGTTGAGACTGTGCACTTACGCCGCGCGTAACAATTTATTTTGGAAAACGGAAAACTCAGTTTTACTCCGCACACAATTAGAAACGTACATAGAGCAACGTCACCTTGTAAGGGTAGGTTGTTTATCTTGCATGGGTAAGAAAGTTCAAACCATTTCGTTGTCTTTCAATAAACGTTCGTCCAAGACCAGTATAATCATGAAGGTCGTCGGTATTGGAGCTGTCTGCTTCTTAGTGTATTTCTTTGCTTTCCCGTCACAGACAGTCGTCGTACAAGCGGCTAAAGACAAGTTAGATGTTTCCGACATCGTAAGTACGAGTATGAGTGAATTTTACTTATACAATTTATTCTTCATTTCTGTCACTTTTGCATGACTGACTTAAGGGTATTCATTTATTAACGGCTGTGTACACTATCAAGGATGGATCCTTTCTATACCATTTGTTCAGGTGTTTTTCGACATGGCTATTGGAGACGAATCCATTGGGAGAATCGAGATCAGCTTGTTCGGTAACGACGTGCCTAAGACAGTCAAAAACTTTGTCACCTTAGCTACCGGCGAGGTTTGTTTTGATTTTCTCTTTTCACCAATAATGATTCTAGTTAAGCACTATAAATGGCCCAGCTTTTCTCAAATGTGCGGTTAAATTAGCAACACTCATAAAGTTTTCCATCTCAGAAAGGATTCGGTTACGAGGGCAGTGGTTTCCACAGAGTCATCAAGGACTTCATGATTCAGGGAGGTGATTTCACCAGAGGCGACGGAACTGGAGGTCAGTTTCTTATTTTTTCAAAAGTCCTTCAAAAGATAATAGCGTAGCTATCTAGAAAGTATTACGAGTGGCTAGTGATAGTATTCAATTTATTTTGGGCAATGATGATATTGGGGTTGGGACTTGGGTGCTAATAACATATAAATGGTTCCAAAAATGAGAAATTACAGGACTATTACAAAAGGATTGTTGAACTGAACAATTATATAGCTCTGTTTCGTCCATGTCTATTCATGTATATATTTGATCCAACCCCTGAGTACATCGCATATTGTTTTGCAAGGCTATCTGACCCGATATCAAATGTTGTATGCATATTAAGCCTTAGAATGAGCCATCAGGCAGTGGCTCACTTTATATGACACACTCCTCTTCTCTTTTACCCACCCATCTTTCTCAAGAAGCAAAGAAATTGGCCCCTTTTCTGCTTACAAACTGGGATTACACAACATGTTACATTTCCAAATTAAACTTGTAAAAGTGTTGGAGCGTCTACAATGTAGGCGCTCCAACACTTTTTCTTGTTATAGAATTGGTGAGAAGGTTCTGAATTGATCCAGAACCTTCAACCTTTGCCTCTTAGTATTTTATTTAGATATTAGTTCCCAAGACTTACTGTTGAAAATTAGGGAGCTGAATCGTGGTTCACAAGCCGAGAATATAAGCTAGGCCAATAAGATTTTAAATAAATTAGGATGATTTGCGACTTTTCTATAGATAACAGTAGGAGAGACCCAGTTACAAATGCATAGCATGGAGAGAAAATTGAATGTAAAATTTATTCCATCTTGCCCAAAAACAACGAAATATTTTGATTTGGGGATGGTTGAAATGGAGTGAAAATTGGGTGAAACCCCCTCAATAACCCTTCTATAATATTTATATTTTTCTCTATGTAAATAGTTGTACAATGTACATAGTTGTGACTTTTGAGTTATGCAATTTACGTAAATCGTAATTGTTTTAAGTAACGTTCATCCCTACGATTCACATATTTGCTTTATCGTATTACATCATTACTTATCGATAATTTATTAATATAATCAATACAATAATTACGAGGTATACTTCGTGACTTTAAGCGTTTGAATTTTAGTTTAGACATGACGTGATAATCTGCATATTTTGTTCTGTTGGGTGTATAACAACCCCATAACAACAGGTAGCAACAAGATTCGATCATAGTATTACGAAAATGTTAACCCTGGCCTTCATCAGATTCAAGAATTATCATCCTTACTAACCTAATTAAATGCACTTTTCCAAGATAATCCTGTTCAGATAAATATTATAAATATTACATTTAAATATTATATTATATAAATTTATGGCAAATTCTTAGATTCTTACACAGTCCGTAATCTAGTAATAATGGTCATGGAGGCACGTAGCTCAGGAATCTGTTTTTGTTTCTAATTTTCTCCCTGAAACGATTTTAAAATAGTTCATACAATGAGCGAAATAAGTTACAAGAACTTTGACCTTTTAAGAAAATGTTCCTTCGGGATAATCTCAATCATTGAGCAGATAACAAGTTCCATGAAATTAAAACTACCGTAGTACACACTGTGTACCTCATTGAATAGACCGACTGTTTAATGCAACCTGTAATACCACTCACCAGTAATAAAACCTTGTGTCATTTACAGTTTTGAGAACGGTCTAACTTTAAAGTTTTATCAATAAAAAGAATTTCTTTGTTTGAATTATGATTCCCATGAAACATTCATAAATGAGACAGGAGAAACGGCATCTTAGGACGCGAGGAGAGTTAGGACTCCTCGGGGCAACTTGGTCGTTTAGCTCCGGACAGTCTATGCAACGTCTATGCAACGTCCATGCAACAACAAAAGAACCGTCTATGCAACGTCTATGCAACGTCCCTGCACAATGAACACTCTATGCACACTCCCTGCACGGTCAGTCTATGCAACGTTTATGCAACGTCTATGCAACGTCCCTGCACAGTACCATATGAACACCGGCTACTAGCCGGCTACTAGCCGGCTACTAGCCGGCTAGTAGCCACTTTTGTAATAACAGCTCCTCAACTTCACATTACCAACCGGCTACTAACCGGCACTTGAAAAGTGGTCACTAGCCGGCTACTAACCGGCTACTAGCCGGCTAGTGACCACAAAGTGGCTACTAACCGGCTACTAAGCGGTCACTAGCCGGCTATTAGCCGAGCTCTAAAGCAGACCTACTAGTAGCCGGTTCCAAACCGGCTACTAGCCGGCACTCGAAAAGCGGTCGCTAGCCGGCTACTAACCGGCTACTAACCGGCTAGTAACCACCAAGTGGCTACTAACCGCTTTTCGAGTGCCGGCTAGTAGGTCCGCTTAAGAGCCGGCTAGTGACCGGTTAGTAGCCGGTTAGTAGCCACTTGGTGGTTACTAGCCGGTTAGTAGCCGGTTAGTAGCCGGCTAGTGACCGCTTTTCAAGTGCCGGCTAGTAGCCGGTTTAGAACCGGCTACTAATAGGTCTGCTTTAGAGCTCGGCTAATAGCCGGCTAGTGACCGCTTAGTAGCCGGTTAGTAGCCACTTTGTGGTCACTAGCCGGCTAGTAGCCGGTTAGTAGCCGGCTAGTGACCACTTTTCAAGTGCCGGTTAGTAGCCGGTTGTTAATGTGAAGTTGAGGAGCTGTTATTACAAAAGTGGCTACTAGCCGGCTAGTAGCCGGCTAGTAGCCGGTGTTCATATGGTACTGTGCAGGGACGTTGCATAGACGTTGCATAGACGTTGCATAGACTGACCGTGCAGGGAGTGTGCATAGAGTGTTCATTGTGCAGGGACGTTGCATAGACGTTGCATAGACGGTTCTTTTGTTGTTGCACGGACGTTGCATAGACGTTGCATAGACTGTCCGGAGCTAAACGACCAACTTCCCCTCTGATTGTTAATTACTGCATCTTGCCATGCGTCTTTTTTATCGACCCGTTAAGTTAATTCATTTACCCTGCAAGTCCTGGACTTTGATATTTTACCATAGCTTGCTCGCAAAAGTTAACTTCATCAACATTATTAGGTTGTAGCCAATGTGTACTATCTTGATGGAGAAAATTGCTCCTTTAAAGTCGTTGGAGATTCCAGAAAAGATGTTTCTTTTCAAGACTCATGTAAGTTTCATTGAAAAGGGTTGGCTTCCAAAGGACGGAAACGTGATAGTAAATTCTTTTCAATCGTCAACGGGTCATATTTATTCTAGCATCATTCACCAACAAATTGACAACAAACTAATTGTAAGAATGGACTTCTTTATCGATGATGAAGCAACCTTGGAAGAGATCGATATTTTTTTAGATGAAGTCCTGAATGGCAAGAATGAGGCAAATTTCAGTAGTTGGTTCGTAATGAATATGCAGACGAGATATTTTGATGACATCGTCAGAGGTGTCATCCAACGACTTAACTTTCACTTTGGAAAAGATCCCAGTAAATTTAACCACAACATGATAGCTTCTCCTACAACAGAACCTGGCCAAATATCTGTACCGCAAGGCTACATACTCGGTCCACTGCTGGAAGGTCATGCTGAGGTAATCACCAAACAGTGGGCTCTGGACATTGGTTTCGGTGATGCAAGTTATGACAGCCTACAGTCGATGGTATTGGCAAACATAACACAAAGGCCATGCTTTGGTATTTTCAGTAACAGTGATCCAACAACTCCGATAGCATGGTTAGCTGTGTATGGTACGGGAAGTATTGGGCAGCTTCATGTTAAAGAGGGTCACCGAGGGAGAGGGTTAGCTAGAATCCTTCTTAGGAATGCTCTGAAGATAGTTCAGAAAACCCATGGTATGGAATGCCGGGTACACGCCTGTGCTGAAAAGACAAATACTGCGTCTCTCAATTTGCTCCTGTCAGAGGGTTGGCAACTTCAACCTTTCAATCACAAGATTATACTTTTTCGTAAGACTGGCGAGCAATGATCAGAACTCAATCTTAAGTTCAATATATGGATATATATATGAACATAATGGACTCCTCCTGGCACATTATTGACCGGACAAATGTTGCATTAATACAGTTTTGAATTTTAACATTATCTACGATTTGTTTCAAACGTTTTTTATATCAATATTTATTTGTAATATTTTCAACAGTTTTGAAATTGTTTTCTTTGCAATACATGTATTTATTAGAAACCTCTTGCGTGCTCTAAAATGCATCTGCTCATAATCGGTAATTACAGTGTGAAAATTTCAAGACACGTAACTTGATTCAATAATCAGAAAGAGTCCTGTCATAAAAACTGTTGATAAGCTGATGTTAGAAATATCAAAATTATAATTCCTCTGCATTTGAACTGTTTGAATTTCCCTTTTAGTGTTGGGTAGGTACTTTGAACTTACAATCGTCTGGCTGTTGCTCTGATACTTCCTTGAATAGAATGCTCAAATATGACTACTTGGTCAGCGAGCTTAAAACTAATTGAACTAGTAGGGGAATAGGTACAAGAGATAATGTTTAATATTACGTAAATAGGCCGGTCAGGTATCTTTTAATAAAAAGATAAAGTATCTTCTACATATAGAACCGTCTTATTAAAAATTCGAATCTTCTTTATACTTAGTATTTTTCAAGCTGTTTGCATTCTTGGGTCCAAACCATGTCCTCCCACATTCGACTTACAATTTGACAGTTGACTGATTAAATTACTTCATCAGAGGGTGTATTCGGGCTATTTCTTCAAAGTGTTAAATATTTATTTTCGTGTATTTATATTGCTATACATTATTTTTTCCAGTTTAGATTCAACGTCGCTCAGAGTACAATTTGAGTTTATTTCATACTTGCAGACATTCACTCTGCACACTTAAAGCGTTGTGTGTTATTCCCATGGGAAAAATGTCTCCTTGTTTCCCCTGTTTTTAACCGCAAAAATAATGTCCAGTACCTTCACGCAAACCTTGATTACTCGCTTCAGATCTTGGAATTTTGTACAAAAGACGGCGAAACTGTTTCGTATTTCCATTTCCATTTAAACGGTTCATTCGCATTTGGCATCCGAAAGCAGATTAATTGTTATGTCGACGTAAATGACTGTTTTAAAGACACGAAACAGTACTATGTTTGTACGCGGCGGTCAGATATTCTGAAACAGTACACGGCTTTTTATATCCTTACCGCGCGCCGCTAGCCACGCGCGCTATCATTAAAATAACAAAGTGCCCAAAGTGCAAATCCTATGAGTGAAGGACACGTCATGCTGGATTTCATCCGACAGTACAATATCAGTGAAGTGGACATGTTACTTTCGTTATGCATCGAACTAAAACAATGTCTATTAATCCCGCTACTAACAAGTGACATCAACAACTTTGAATAACGTTCTGTCTTATGTCTAGCAGTAATGAAAGGCAGAACAATTTATGCTGCAATTGCAAATTTAATAGAGATAAACTTTCAGGCAAGAGCATCTACGGAGACAAATTCAAAGACGAAAACTTCAAGCTGAAGCACTTCGGACCAATGTGGCTGAGCATGGCTAACGCTGGTAAAGACACCAACGGCTCTCAATTCTTCATTACCACTGTGAAAACTCCCTGGTTGGACGGAAGACACGTCGTCTTCGGCAAAATCACTAAAGGAATTGTAAGTGGAGATATTCATTAGACAAATAGGTTGTATTAAAGTTAAAGGCAACTTGATTAATTTCAAACTAGGCCCTAGGGACTTCGAAGGTCGAACGATCCACTTAAATATTTCTATTATTATTCGAATGAAAATGTATTATTTCAATCAGGCTAATCTGTTTGAAAAACTTGACTTAACTATATAGAGATAGTCCTGTATCAAAAGATACAAAACATCGTGTAACTATCAGTATGTAACCTTACCTCTTTTTCCCAGGATATTGTCAGGAAGATTGAAGGTACAAAGACCAACTCCCGTGACAAGCCACTTAAGGATGTGGTCATTAAGAAGTCCGGCGTTGTGGATGTACCTGCTGGTACACAAGTCGACAAGAGTTAGAGATGTTCTCTTTTATCAGATCTCTGACTTGCATGAATTATTTTAATGTTCTTAACTAGTAGCTACTTGAGTATCATCGTGCTAGCGAAAACTTAGGAATCCTGGGACTGGTTTTTGTACTGGGTGTTTTCAATTATTTATTTGCTAGAAAATATTCGCTAATTTTGAATTTTAAGCCCTTAAAATTCTTTGAACCAGAGATGTTATAATTTAATCATGTTTCAATGTTAAGCTGAAATTTTGATAAATTTATATTTAAAGTTACTATTATTATAATGTCATGTTTCATTACTACACAATCTACACAATGTAGGTGCAGGTGACTCCACCAGGCTCGCTGCAACATTCACTTCCTCTCATCTGGCAGCTAATCAGAAATTTGACACCCCTCCTGCAGATATATTGCTTATTTTTGGCCACAATTTGTGACGGTAGCGTGTCGTCAGCAGCTCATCCTTAACTTTGGAGGTTCATGCCCTGAGATTGAATAACAACGCCTTCTCCTTTGCAATCTCGAGTCGGGTTTGTAACTTGTTGCAGCGCCCTTTTGATCAGTTTGCGGTCCGTATTTTGCCCTAATCCTGTTATATTTACTTCCTATCATGACCTACGAATTATGCGATGTTTATTAGCTCGGGCTATAGTTAGTTAATCCGCTTTGTCCGTGTTTTTGTGTTACTTTCCTGTCATCCCATCCCTTCAGACTCTATAGCCTCTGCGTTATCAAGTAGAACTAAACTAAAACTGGAAAAATTCAACAGTGTGTCCAGTCTGACATCTATTTAGAGGGATGACTTTAGTCGGAGTTGTAAACTACATGCGAATCCATTAGCACATAGTTTTACACATTTTCTAAAGCACGTTGTCGTGGGTTTAGGGTTACTGGGGTCGCTGAAATTGTAATTCTCTGTCTGTAACTTAATCCGGTCCAGTTAGCCGGCACGTTCATTTCCCTTTTATAGTAGCTTTCTGTTATCATGAACATGGTAAGTAATCACCAGTTCGATTTCATTTCATTTCTTCCTCTGCTTTTGTAGAACCGTGATTTTATTTTCTCAAACATTCAGTGTTTATCCAGTTTTACCCAGTACAGTAATAGTTGGTTATTGGTGTGAACTTTAATAAGAGGTTCCTACTTATTAAGTAAGCAACTTATCATTACTATAGATTTAGTGATCTACTGATATGGCGAGTTAAAAGGAGCACTTCATTCCCAACAGGCAGGCTGGGTAGATCACCTACTCAAAGTAATTTTGGCAGCCAGCAAGCTTTCTATTTGCGTACCATCATGACGGTGGAGTGCGCATGATTTACCTGAAGATTACATGAGCTTCGTTGTTACACAATCTGACAATCGGTCACTCGACGGAAGGAGAGGCCGGTCTCCTCCCGCTACGATTAATGCAACATTATGCCTTTGCGATTTGGTAGATCATTAATTTCCAATTTCCATGTTGTTCTTTTTAAAAGTTTTCCTTGAAAAAGATTTTTATAATCACCGTTTCTTTATTAAAAATGTTGCCTTAACGGCAACGCTAATTTCACGTGTATAAGCTGATCAGTGATCAATTATATTTAGGAGGTTATTTCACGACTAAATACTTTTTCAAAAAATACCCCTGGATGAAATCAGAGATGAAATCAAAATTTGTTTGATTCTGTGGTAAGTGATAGTATTTTACACTTACAGTAAACGTTGAATTCGAATTCGGACTGTCTCCTAGAACTGTAGCCATGCAGTCATTATATTCGACAAGAACTATGTTGAGGTATTTTATTTTGTGTGAAAATCTTAAGTGATACATGACGACGGCGCTCACATTTGAAGGAGCATATAATCTGTATGATCATTGATCACATTGCTTAGAATCTTTCTATACACGATAGTATGTTTATCATTCTTTGGGTACAGTATTTGATGGTACGTTATCATTGATAACAGGCCTGGTCTTTATTCGAGAGTATGAAACACCTGGTTTCGACGAATTGGGTATTAAATGTGCTGCAATTCATCAAATACTGTAAAAACTTAATGATTTTGATCAGTCTTTATTTAATAACTTCTATGGATAGATCTGTGTCTACTCGAACAGTAAATTTGAATGTTTTTCTGATTTTTATAGTCAGGATAAAATTTCAGGAACGGCTGGACACCTTATTTTTATTTTTGACGTCAGTTCTCTATCCACCTTTACTTAGGCTTCAGTTTCTTCTTCTGGTACTACACAAAGTTTAAATTTAATTCTATTATGACGTTTTCATGATCTGTAAATGCCTCCACATAAAACTATCACTAGGTATTATATCGTATCTCTTGATGACAGTTCGTCTCGTAGTCTTAATGATAAATCCAAGATCGTCTCGATATAAACACAAACATAAGTCCGCGTTTTTAAGCTGAACCACGAACGCGTTTAGTTTCACCATCGATCGATCGTCCCGAGACAATAATATCGTGTTTCTATTGCTGTTAGTGTTAGATCTTCCCGAAACTATCTACTGCTCAGAAACTTTTAGCGCGATGCGTTACTGTGCCGCACCGAGCTGCCATGAATTGACATCGTCAATTAACTCAGAAACTAGTGCATAGTGGAAGAAATTATTAACATAACCATGCATTTCACCATGATCATGATTGTATCAAGTCGTGACCCCCATTATCCATTGTTGATTGTCGTTTCACTAAGTGGTATCACCAATCACTAGTAGTAGTACTAGTATCGTGGCGAAAGCCACGATACAGCCGCGCACTCGTGCGCGGCAGGTCTACAAGTACAACGTATGACAAGATTGACGGATGTTACTCGTCTAAATTTCTTCGAAGTAGCGCGCGCCGCTTTCTTCTCGAAACGGCAAGTGCTACGAAGTAGCGCGCGCCGGGCCAGATCATTAACAATGGTCAAATGACAAGATCATGATCGATCCACCTACTATACTGAGTAGTGAGTTCACAAACCTTCCAGAAAACGCTAACTTAAGTTAATGTTATAAGTATAATCGTACTTATGGTTGCTTTAAAGTTCAACTGGCGAATCCTTAATGGGTTGTACCCGAACAACATTTATTTGGAATATAAATGATTAGAATCGTCAATAACAAATAAATTACTAAGCAGATCGAAGCGCGCGTCAGCATTATAGCAAGTTCTAAAACTACGGTTACTGGGCGGCGCTCAGCCTGTTATTCCGCAGAATCTCTATTCTATGTTCATAAATCTATGTTTATGAATATAATAGCCTGGGTCCCCAGCTTAAACCTACGGATGAATTCGACTTTAATTTGAATCTTTAACCACTGTAAATGACATCAAGGTTTGAAGACCACATGGCATTCGACTAGCGGCCTCACTTTAGTCTTAGATTTCTAGTAAGCATTGATAATGGGTTGTTTGCATATTACGTAATCAGCCGAGGCACGAGGGGGGAGGGGGAATTCCCAAATAAAATAATTACGCTAGTTTAATTTTGACACATTAAATTGCATTTTATATGTTGTAGCAAAAATATGTTCGCTCCTTTATAAATGAAAAAAAAATCACAGCCGGGCGGAAAGTATACAATTTGCAATTACAATGAACCGATAAAATAATGATATTCTTGCTATAGGTTTAAATGTACAACCTCCCAGGACGCGCGCCGAGTTGGATTCGTCGACGGTCCTGGAACAAATATTTTACGAGTATTACCCGTTAATGATATTCACAATCAAAAATGACAAATGAAAGGCAACGTATTTCAAATTACTAATCTAATTACTACATTTACATCATTTTTACTGGGCTGCGCTCATATCAGCCTGTCATTCCGCCGTTTTTATTGGTGTTGATGACCACTATCAGTATCAGTTTACAGTTACATGGGGTCCCCAGGTAACACTTTCTATATTTATTATTATTACATTTTCATCCCTCATATCTGTTAAGGCGCGCATAATAAATAAATTTCTTTAAAAAAAGCAAATCCTATTCAATATCTATATATAGATATCTATACATAGTAATATATAATAAGTATAAATATAATACAATTATATAAATGATAAAATAGTTCAATTTTTCTCTAACCAGAGCGCTCGCGCGACGCGCTTTCAGTATGCAGTATAGTAGCGCCCGCACGATCGAGTGAGCTGCTGTATCGTGTATCGCGGCTTTCGCCCCGCTACTGAAATGAAATGATACACTAGATGAAACGACAATGAGGGTCACGACGTTATACAAATCTTCACGGAAAGCACATCAAATTTGATACGTATAAAATATGTTTATTATATAACTTGCTTGATTCTGCTGTATTCAGTTTGTAGTTGACGTATTCCGACAAAAATGATTGAAATTTAAGCTGAAAAATGTTTGTACCACATTTAAAAATATATAATTCTGCGCGGCTCAAATGTCAAATAAAATGAATCTTAAATATCATTTTCCAGGAATTGGATGAATCTATGTTTATTGAATGGGGATGACTTCTGAGCTGGAGAGGAGAAAATCTTTCTCTTTTACCTATTTCAATCGCCCAATCAGCCATACTAATAGTATTTGGTATACCAACGCAGAACGCCTCTACAAGCAATCGAGCGTCGTTTCAGGCGAATACTCAGAAATCAGCGCAATAGAGGTCACTCCGCAAGACGACCCAGTTTTTGCAATCCCACCTGAATCGTTGAGTCAAAGTTTGGATTATGTCCAAATGGAATGCGACGTTCACCCTGAGACAGATGAAGCTTTTGATGAAGACACCCTTGTCCCCACAAAGTTGATAGCCTTGAAGTGTGATTCACTGGCACCACACGAAGACCAGTTAGTTTCCACCATGTTTTCTCTTGATTTGACCTTTTAAAATGCTTGACATGTTTTGTGCAATGTTGTTTATATTTGTTCTGTCGTATCACCGGTCAAACTTCTTGCGTATTGATAACCCTACATTAGTCAAGCTATATCTACTTCCTTTTTTACTGGAATTTCGAATAAAATGTTTGTGTTGGCGATCCGCCCCATTACCGGTCACTCCCCCACTCGTGTACTACCTCCGCCCGGTCTAATACAATAAAATATGCAATATTTGCCTACAAATTCATATACGAGAATTACCTCCGCACTTCCCATAGTAAAACGAGGAAATTTAAAACTTACGCATACTCAACGTTCAATTTTGTGTGGGGTTGTGCCTTGAAAAAATTTGTGGATGTGCTCACGAATTGTACAGTTGATTGTACTTTTCTTACCTTTATGCGAACACAGCATTTTATCCTCTAGTTACGGTAACATTCCTGCCGGAATTCTTTCTTTCTGTGATTATTTTCGACACCCGAACTATTCAAGCAAAGTTAGTATCACTAGTCTAAAAATATCTTATTCCTTTTTGGCTAGACATAAGATACGATCATATATCTAGTTCCTTGTCTGATGTCGCCACTCCCGACCCCGCCCACTGTATTAACTGAACTGAGCTGGCTATTATTTAGCTGTATTTAAATGTATTAATTCGTCAGGTGGTTCCACGGTTACCTAGATAGACCTGATGCTGAGGTTCTGTTGAGTAAGCACCAGCCTGGTTCCTACTTCGTCAGAATCTCTATTCCTTCTGCTGACCGACCAACCAAATACGTTCTCAGCGTTCGAACAACCGTCGGATATCAACATTTTAAGTGAGTTAATATGAGATTATTAATTAGTTCACTTTAATATAATAATTGTTGACAAGTGCTACGCTTTAACAATTTAACGTTTCGTTTAAAAAATACACCCTCGCAGTAGGCGGGACCAGCTATTTTGGGCATATATTTGCTGTGGAATTAGTGTTTTAAAACGTGTCGTAGCCTTTACATTTCATTAGTCATTAGTATTGTTTAATTTAATAATACTCTACACAACCTTATTAGAATACCACTGGCACTACTCAGTGAAATTTTGAAAACCATGCAATAAATTTGAAAACAACAATTTGAAAACAACACAGCACAGTATACATGTAGGAACATGCTTATCGCAAAATACTACAATATTTAATATTTAAGGACAGTTAAAAATTCCGGGATGTACAATAATCAGCATATATTATCACATTTAACATTAATATATAGTTCTATAAAGAGTTATGATCTATACGAATTCCGTGTCTTTGAATGAAGTTCCAGCTCTTAGTTTAAAACATTTGTTGATCAACGGCCACGTACGGTAATAGTAAATCTGTGCCGTCGTCATCTTCAAAAATATATGAATATATTAATGTGTAGATTCTCATGGACAAACCTCGGACATTTGATTGCCGTTTTGCTGTTGTTTTTTTGTTACATTAACTTAGTGTCTGTTTGTTTGAATGTGTGTGTGTGTGTGTGTGTGTGTGTGTGTGTGTGTGTGTGTGTGTGTGTGTGTGTGTGTGTGTGTGTGTGTGTGTGTGTGTGTGTGTGTGTGTGTGTGTGTGTGTGTGTGTGTGTGTGTGTGTGTGTGTGTGTGTGTGTGTGTGTGTGTGTGTGTGTGTGTGTGTGTGTGTGTGTGTGTGTGTGTGTGTGTGTGTGTGTGTGTGTGTGTGTGTGTGTGTGTGTGTGTGTGTGTGTGTGTGTGTGTGTGTGTGTGTGTGTGTGTGTGTGTGTGTGTGTGTGTGTGTGTGTGTGTGTGTGTGTGTGTGTGTGTGTGTGTGTGTGTGTGTGTGTGTGTGTGTGTGTGTGTGTGTGTGTGTGTGTGTGTGTGTGTGTGTGTGTGTGTGTGTGTGTGTGTGTGTGTGTGTGTGTGTGTGTGTGTGTGTGTGTGTGTGTGTGTGTGTGTGTGTGTGTGTGTGTGTGTGTGTGTGTGTGTGTGTGTGTGTGTGTGTGTGTGTGTGTGTGTGTGTGTGTGTGTGTGTGTGTGTGTGTGTGTGTGTGTGTGTGTGTGTGTGTGTGTGTGTGTGTGTGTGTGTGTGTGTGTGTGTGTGTGTGTGTGTGTGTGTGTGTGTGTGTGTGTGTGTGTGTGTGTGTGTTCGTTTGTGTTCTGAGTGTGTGTGTGTAATGTGAGGGAAGAATGTAGATACTAAACGAGAGGTTTAAGTCCCGGCAGGGTGCGGCTATGCTCCCTCTCTCTCCCTCTCTCTCCCTCTCTCTCCCTCTCTCTCTCTCTCTCTGACCATGGTTTAAACATCTCCCTCTAGCTCTATGAGTCTCCGACTCTGTATTATATATTCAGTCAGGATATTATATAGTCCACATGTGACAGCTCTGCTCTTCCACCAGATTTAACCCCAAACTCTTCCGGATGTCCGGGTGTTTCCAAAGAAAGGAGTGTGGCACGTCGTAGGACATACTGGGACATCCCTCCACCATTCCTCACCAGACAGAGCAGTGGAACACCGCTCACCAGGCTACCGAGTTCTCTGGTCAGCTAAAGAAAACTACGTGTGAAGAAATTATAAGGTTTCTGCTAGGTGTTGAGAAACTATTTTTAGTGCCCTCTCTCTCTCGCTCAAAAGTCAGCATGTAATGGCCTGCTCTTAATGTACACGTAACTTGTACTACACTTCTATACCATGGTGAGGGAGGCAGAGAGAGAAGTAGCGAGAAGTGGTGAGCTGACTTTACTAGGGGGCAGAGAGAGAAGTGGTGAGCTGACTTTACTAGGGGGCAGAGATAGAAGTGGTGAGCTGACTTTATTAGGGGGCAGAGAGAGAAGTGGTGAGCTGACTTTACTAGGGGGCAGAGAGAAAGAGAAGTGGTGAGCTAACTTTAGTAGGGCTAGGGAGAGAAAGAGAAGTGGTGAGCTAACTTTAGTAGGGCTAGGGAGAGAAAGAGAAGTGGTGAGCTAACTCTAGTAGGGGTAGAGAGAGAGAAAGAGAAGTGGTGAGCAAACTTATAGGGGGCAAATAGAGAAGTAGTGAGCTGACTTTACTAAGGGCAGAGAGAGAAATGGTGAGTTAAGTGTTAACTCTAGTAGGGGTAGAGAGAGAAAGAGAAGTGGTGAGCTAACTCTAGTAGGGGTAGAGAGAGAAAAAAGGGGGGGGGGGGCCAACCATATTAAAGTATATTAAAGTATATCCCCGGGTCAAAATCGGAAAAAATCCTACATTTTAATATACTTTAATATACCTACAATTAGTAGATTAGAAGATAAGCCAATTACTGGTCCCCTGAACTCATACTTCATATATTTTGGCTCATAAATTAGTCAAGTATCAATATCTTTGAACAAGACTAACCTTACATGAAAGGTAAATCTAATCTATACATTAAATAAAACAAAATTTTTCACATAATTTTTTATAATGTAGGTATATTAAAGTATATTAAAGTATATTAAAGTATATCCCGGGTCGAAATTGGAAAAAAAACCTACATTTTAATATACTTTAATATACCTACAATTAGTAGATTAGAAGATAAGCCAGTTGCTAGTCCTCTGAACTCATAATTCATATATTTTGGCTCATAAATTGGTCAAGTATATGGTAAGTAACATGGATTCAAAATTTTAATGGAGAAAATGTAGGTATATTAAAGTATATTAAAGTACATTAAAGTATATTAAAGTATATTAAAGTATATTAAAGTATATTAAAGTATATTAAAGTATATTAAAGTATATTAAAGTATATCCCCGGGTCAAAATTGGAAAAAATCCTACATTTTAATATACTTTAATATGGTTGGCCCCCCCCCCAAAAAAAAGTGATGAGCTAACTTTAGTAGGGGTAGAGAGAGAAAGAGAGAAAGAGAAGTGGTGAGCTAACTTTAGTAGGGGTAGAGAGAAAGAGAAGTGGTGAGCTAACTCTAGTAGGGGTAGAGAGAGAAAGAAAAGTGGTGAGCTAACTTTAGTAGGGGTAGAGAGAGAAAGAAAAGTGGTGAGCTAACTCTAGTAGGGGTAGAGAGAGAAAGAAAAGTGGTGAGCTAATTTAACTAGGGGAGAGAGCTAAGTCTTTGAAGCTTTGTCCTGTTCCCCACGCGGGAATATCAACACGTAATCGTAAAGAAACGAACCGATGACAAAATCTCGCAGAAAGAGTGCAGGCATTTTGCCTATTATTGTTTAGCCTTCTTCAGGACTCTACACACTATAAAAGGCGAGAGATTCTTTCAGTTTCTTTGGTGATTCCATCGAATTGTACTTTCCGTGTATTGCAAAAGTGATGGCTAACCTTCACACCTTCGTCTTCTTACTTTTGTTACAGATGTTTTACAGCTCTAAAAATAAACCCAAATAGAATTTGAAGCGAACGTGAACCTCCGTAATCCAATTAGAGACAGTGTATCAAATTCTCTTTCTCGGCTCTTCCCCGGGCTTCTAACACTGCACGACCCAAAGGGCTCATTTAGTATTCATAGGTTCTTCTGTTGAGATAACTGTTGATGCAAACTTCAATAGAAATAACATAAAATATTTCGCTCCCGCATAAATTTTTATGCATCTTTTTAACGGGATCAAATTACGGTCAGGCTGTGCCCTGGTTCATTGCTCAGTGTATCGTGCCGTAGTTGGATCCTATAACCTTTCCTCCCTCCACCTTTAGATCTTATTTCTCATTTCACCACCTTTTTCCCGCTCAATTGCTCGTTTTTTCTTTGCTCTTGTCGTTCAATTTTTGTACACAATTGCTTTCTTCGTTCTAATTTGTGGATTCTTATAATATAAATGCCAATTAAAAGTTACCCGTTTTTCTGGGAGGTTGCCGATTATGCCGCTTTTATTTCATTCGCACGATTTAGTTTGTCCTGTCTAGCTGTGTGAGTGTGAGTGTGAGTGTGAGTGTGAGTGTGAGTGTGAGTGTGAGTGTGAGTGTGAGTGTGAGTGTGAGTGTGAGTGTGAGTGTGAGTGTGAGTGTGAGTGTGAGTGTGAGTGTGAGTGTGAGTGAGTGTGTGTGTGTGTGTGTGTGTGAGTGTGTGTGAGTGAGTGTGAGTGAGTGTGAGTGTGAGTGTGTCTGTCTGTGTTTACTGTGTGAGTACATTTTCTCTCCCCACCTGTAGCCGACAATTTAGTGTAATTTACTTGCTCCCGTACTGGTTAGTCTGTGTGTAATTAGCTCGAGCCGTGTATTTTATTCAGTAATTGTCACGTGAGGGCCTTCCTTTTGACATATTGGGTGGTCTCTGATTTGCACTAATGTGGATGGCAGGGGGAAATTACTACTTTAAAGTGAACGGTACCCCAGACCTGCCTAGCTCTCGTCTGGTTTATGGTCTGTGTACATTTCAGTGTCGAACTGTCAGCTGACTCTACAAACCTCCACACGCCTTAACTTTCGTTTCTCTGACGTCTTCATTTTAATTTACTGATCATCCCGGATTGTGATTTATATCGTGCGTTATAAAAAGTGAGTGTTCTCGTTCTCGATACCATATCAATCAAACAGGCGGCGGCGGCAGGTAGTTCAAATCCACCGTCACGTCAACTTTGCCCTGATGGGCAGCGAGGCTGAGTGTAAACATAACACTGAGATTAAGCTGGTAAACATCTGAAGATTCAGTGAAATGACGTGATTGTTATCTGAGACTTGTATCCCGCAGCGATACGAGCTATTCTCTGGGGGTTTGCAATGTGTAGACATACCATGCAGCCAGATATCTTCCTTTAAGTGGTTTCTTTTTTAGGAGAACACTAAACCATTATGATCATATTTCTGTCTTGCTATGATTTAGAGCGAGGCCGACTAGCTTTTATGTTGTGTTTGATCGAGCTTTATTTTTTG